GTCTGGGCACTGTGTGTCTTGAGCCGCTCGAACATGGGGATGAGAAAGCAGGCCGTCTTGCCACTGCCCGTCCGGGCCATGGCCACCACGTCCTTGCCATCCAGGATCACAGGGATGGTCTGGAGGGAAACCAGTGGGGGAGCGGCGGGGTCAGCTCCTGCACTCAAGCTCCACGAGACCCAGAGTGGGAGGTCCCTGGGGACTGGGCGAACCAGGGCATTTCAGGGAATAGGAAGGGGACTGTTGCCCAGCCCTGATCTCATTCTTGCCAAAGCTTGTTGCACAACTCTAGGGACGAGCAGCTCACTACCCCCAACTCTTTCCACTCTTGGAACATCCTTCAGGTTAAGCCAGACTCTGCCTCCCTGTCCAGTCCTCCTCCTTGAGACCCCAGAGAAACCTCTCCCTCTTGGCTAAACGTCTGAGGACAACACTCACAGCTGGGCGATAACGGGGTGCCTGTGAGTTGGCTGGGCGGGGGTTCAGCAGTGGGCAGCCCCAGGGAGGCCAAACGGCAAAGAGGCCCAGGGTCGAGGTTCGCTTCAGCTGGGCCCAACTTTCTCTGCCTGTGGGATGGGCAAGCTGTGTGGGGCTCCAGCGATCGACGTGACGGCTGGGACGAGGGGTGGCTGTCGGGAGGGCGGTCAAGTCCCCTCCCCTCCTCCCGACCCCCAGAGCCCGCCTGCCCCATACCTTCCTCTGGATGGGGGTCGGCACCTTGTAGCCCTTCTTCATGACGCCTCTGAACACCGGGTAGCTCAGGCCTGCGAAAGACACGGGAGTGGTCGGGGGCCCGGGGGCCATCGCACCGCACACAGAAAACTACACAGGACCACGACCGCTCATTGACGAGTAAATAGCAAGAAAAAAGGAAAAGAGACCAAGCAAAACTGGTAGACTGAGACTTCAGAGACAAATCTGGCGACTGGGGGGTATGAACCCTCACGGATTCTGGTCTGAACACACTCTGACGCCAGCAGACACGTGGGGTCTGAACGCTGACGGGGCCTCGGAGGGGACTGGGGGACCGTGCGTTTGCTCCAGGCGCGCGTAAGGGCCTGCATCTCTTGAAGGTACGTGGGAAGCATTTAGGGATCCGGGAGGAGATGTCTGGGATTCACTTCAGAATCCTCCAGGATGATGGGGACAAGTGTGTGGGGGGGGCAGGGCTAAAACGAGCGCAACGGTAAAACTGCCGGAGCTCATGATGGCGACGTGGAGCCTCGCTGCCCTCTGTACTTTATGCGTTTGAGATTTTCCATAATTAAAACAAAACAAAAGGGTGTTATGTGACAAGGGCACGTGACGGGGGCCGGCATGGGTGTTGAGAGATGAGGCTGTGGTGAATAAGGGGGAGGGGCCTTTGGAGACCGCATATGACTTGGGCTTGTGGAGAAGTGAGGACGGTGGGAGGCCTGGGGACAAGAAAACACACCGTCTCAGCTGCTTGTTGGTCAATCCTTCACCTTTGTGATTCAGAAGGGCAAAAGACAGGCACGTGTCGATGTTCTTATTTGTTTTTCCTTTGATATTGATGAAATTTAGCAGGTTTTTAATATATTAATTGGCTGTCTAGATTCCTTTTGTGGGTTGAGTATTCATTTTCTTCACCCCATTCTCTATCAGGGTATCTTTTTCTTATTGATTTGTAAAACTCTTTGTATATTAAGGACATTAACCCTTTGTCTGTCCTAGAGGTTGCAAAGGCACAGTGTTTACTCTAGTTTACCATGTGTTTTCGGGATATGTGTCTAACTGAAAAAAAGTCAAGTTAAATGGTGCTCAGGTCATATTGAAGACAGCCTTCTTTTCCTTCCTAAGATTATAAAAATATTCATCTTGATATTTAAATCTTTCCTTCGGATGCTACTGATTTGTAAAGAGCAAGCGAGTTCAGCTTTATCTCCACCTGGCCAGGTGTCCCAACACCACCCAGCTCTTCCCCCTTTCCCTCTGCTCCAAAGGCCACTCTGTCGTGCAGCGAGTCCCGGAACGGCTCTGCCTGGCCTGGCGCCAGCATCGCTGGAGGCTCTAACTGCCCTCTCACGGTGTCAGGCCGTTCCCCATGAGAAAGCCCTGATAGGTGTGGAGACTCTCCGCTGCCTCAGTCTACCTTACACCTACCACAGTGCCAGGCCCAGAGCAGACAGCCCCAGGGCGCAGAGGGCATGATGGGTCCCTGCGGCCACTCCCCCAGTCCCTGGCCGCCTGGTGCACCTACCCATGGACTGGAAACCTCCCGACTTCTTCTTCTTCTTATTCTGGGCTCGCACCATCTCCCGCGTGTCCGGCTCCACGTCGGAGGTGCATTCTGACGTGGGGAAGGTGGGCAGGGGTCTGCCGGGTCCTAGCTGGGAGGGAGGAAGAGACAGCGTCACTCCAGGCACAATCAGACCCCTGGGGGCAGACAGGGGGCTGTTCTGTTGCTGCTCTCCCCCCTGATTCAAGCCAATGACTGTCCTGCTAGGTCACATGACTCCTCTGCTAAAGGGCTCTCCTTCGGCTGGGCCGGCCCCGGCCAGAGGGTCTGGGAGCAGGCTCCGCAGAGAGGCTGCCTGCCTTCCAACCCCGACTCGGTCACTTTCCAGCTGCGAGACCTCAGGCAGCGGACCGAGCTCCCTGAGCCTGTGCTTCCACGTCTGGAACGTGGCGGGGACAGGAGCACACGCCTCATGGGGCGTTAGCGTAAAGCTCAGAACGGTGCCCAGCACAGAGCTGGCAGTGTGACCACCACCACCACCATCCCGGCCTGTCACTCACAGCTCTTGAAATGAAGAACTCCGGAAGCCAATCGAAACATCAGCGATGTGTGAGACCAGACTCTTCCAAGCTGCCCTGTCCCCCACCCCCACCTCTGACCCATCACCCTTCCCCAGCTCCCGTCTCTCTCATGCTGGCCTCCTTGCTGCCCATCCAGGACCCACTTGTCCCAGCACAGCTCAATCCAACCCAGACACCCCCTCTGGAGAGGCTTCTCAGGCTGCCACCTCCTCTCTAAATGACAGTTACAGAGAACTAATTCATAATAACACCTAAAACGTACACGGTACTTACTGTCAGCCAGGTGCTGCTCTGAGCATTCATATAAATTAACCCACTGAATGCTCACAACAACCCTGTGAAGTAGCTACTATTATTTAGTCCATTTTACAGAGAAGGAAACTGAGGCACAGAGAGGTGCAGTGACTTGCCCAAAGTCACACAGCCTGTAAGTGGGGGATCAGGGATTTGAGCCCTGGCTTCAGAGTCTATGTTCTTTCCATTGTGACCTCTATGGCCCACTATAGCCATCTAGGCCAGAGCTGCAGCCTGTCTAGCACAGTCCGTGAGCTAAGAATCGTTCTCACATTTTAAAGACTGTAAAAATTCAAACGCAGAAGATAGTGTGACTTTCTGTGGCCCCACAAAGCCTAAAATGTTTACATCTTTACAGGAAAAGTTTGCCGAGCCCTGCTCTAGACACATGAAAACAGGGCCTGGAACACACTGGTGCCCCCAGCAATATTTACTCAGTGGGTAGAATGTAAGAACACTGTCACTGACCCCTTTCAACAGTCTTTGAGGCACATATACTCACCTGCCTTCTACACATGTGGAAACTTCTGCCTTCTACCAATGTGGCACAGGGAGGTTAAGCAACTTCTCCAATGTCCCAAAGCCAGTACAAGGTTGGGCCAGATCTGAACACCGGGCTGCACCAGGGCAAAGCCCCTGGCCTGAGCCACATAGGTGGGCTCCTCTGGCACTTACCGCCTCTGCCTGCCTGTGCTGTTCATTACCTTTAGCAATTTCTCCACGTGGAGAGAGCACCCACTCTGTGCCAGGCACCCCAAGCGCAGGGCTGTGGGCAACAGCGGCTCTTTCGCCCTTTGCGTCATTTGCATACAGTTGGCACTCAGCAATGGAAACAGCACAGGCCCTGGGACCAGACAGCCCGGGGTTTGAATCCTGGCTGCCCCCCTCACAAGCCGTGAGGTCTGGTCAAGTCCCGGTACCCCTCCAGGCCTGTTTCCTCCTCTAGAAAAGGGGGACGACAGGACTGCGCGCACAGGGCGGGCGCGAGGATTAAAGACAAGCCCTGTAAAGCTCTCAGCGCGGAGCCTGGCGCGTAGGAGGCGGTCGACAAATCCGAGTTTAATTTACGTATGATCACTTCCCCAGAGGTTTGGGGGCATCACTGTCTCAAGCCACCGGGTCTGGTCTCCCCTTCATTCAACCTCCCAAGAACCCCCCAAACTCTCCAAGTCCGCTCTGCAGCGCCCGCACTTTTCATTGGGCGAGCGGACACTCGGGCCCGCCCCCTGGCCGGAGGCGGCCAATGAGCGGCGCGCGAGCGCAGCCGGCAGGAAGGGCCAGGCCCCGCCCGGGAAGCGCAGGCTCGGCAGCCGGCCCCGGCCGCCACGGGCCCCGAGACACGTGCTCGGGCCGGCGGGCCTGCCCCCGAGCCCGGCCGCCCCTCTCCCGCCCTGGGCCGCGCTCGCTTCCCAGCGGGGACCTGAGGCCGCGGGGCGCTGCGCGGAGGCGGCTCGGGCTCCAGCGCGCGCCCCGGCCCCGCGCTCCCACCTTCTGGGCCCGCGCGTCATCCTCCGCCTGGATCTCAAACTCGCCGTCCTCCGAGTCGCTGCTGCGGGCCTGGGGGGCCGCGCCCCGGCGCTTGCGGAGCCCCTTCTTCTTCCGCCGCTGGGCCATGGCCGCGCGGGACCGAGGGCCGGCCGCCGGGTGCGTGCCGGCCGCCATGCGGGGCGGGCGCAGGCTCTGGGAGGGGCGGGGCCTGCGGGGCGAGCCCACGGCGGCAGGGGGGCGTCCACGCGGCCCCGGCTGCGCCCCCCGCCGCTGCAGCCCCGGAGGCGTGGCGCACGCTCACTCACGCGCACTCACTCTCCCCCGACTGGCGCGAGACGCCCCGCTCCGAGGCTTTGGGGGACCCCGGGGCTTCCGGAACGGGGCGCCACGCCCCCCCCGTCGGCGCGAATGGTTCGGGCCGCGCCGCCCCGCCTCCGCCGGTTGTGTTGGACGCGCGCGCCGAGCGCACGTCGCTAGGGCCGGGCTGCCCCAGGGAGGGGTCCGCGCGCTGGGCCCGGGGCCGGGGCGGCTGGAGCTGCCGAGGGTCCTGGGCTCCGGGGCGTCTGGGCTGCAGAGAACCTGGGATCTCGGGTGCACCGCGCGCCCCCGCGGAGGAGTCCGGACCCGGTGGGGAGGGGGCGCCGAATTTTGCATCCTACGTCCTGGAGCCCAAATGCTCAGGTAGGAAAATAAGAACGCGGCGTCCGTGGACATCAGCCGGGGCTCTGTCTTGGGGATGGGGAATATTGGGTAGCTGGGGCGGGGAGGGGCGTGATCCCCCCATAGCAGAATGGTTAAATGCACAAACTCTGGATTCTTCTCGGGTTCAAATTCCGCTTCCATTGTTTAGCTCTGTAGGTGTGACCTACACCGGTGACTTCGCTTTTTGAAGCCTGAGTTTTGTCATCTGTAGAATGGACATAATCTAAGCTACTCCATAGGACTGTCGAGGGGACTGAAGGGGACAATGCTCATGAAGCTCTTCGCTCGAGGTGGGCCCGGCGTGAATACCGGTTATTATCCCCGCCCCGTAAACGTAGCCGGGACATAGAGACCTACCTGTCTCTCCCTCCCCGTAGTTTATTTTCTAGTTGGTGCCAGAATGGACACAGGCCCCGTCTGTCCTTCATCCCCTGCCATTCTGTAAATATTTATTGGGCACACGCGTATGCTAGGAGTGTGTGTTTACTCATTAAATATTTGCTACTAGCACCCCCTCCATTATTGTGACAACTGAAAAACAGTTGAACCAATTTCTGAAATGTCCCCTGGGGTTGGCAGCGCCCCTTTGAGGAGGACTGGCTGAGGGAGAGCCTGACCCTTTTGCCCTTGGGTTGGGGACTTGAGACTGCCAGTCTTCCTCTGCTGGCACTGCCGATGACGGAGGGTGCCACCCTCACCCCCTTTCCCAGGGAGCCCTGGAGGCAGGGCCTGGCGGGCAGGGCACGTCCGCTGTCACCTGGGACCCCAAGCAGCATGAAGACCCCTGTGGAGCTGGCCGTCAGTGGGATGCAGACACTCCACCTTAGGCACCGCTGCCGGGTCAAGGCCAGGCCGTCATATGTGGACGAGACTCTGTTTGGCAGCCCTGCGGGCACCCGGCCCGCCCCACCAGACTTTGACCCACCCTGGGTGGAGAAGGTCGACAGAACCCGAGGAGTGGGCACAGGGATATCACGGGCCTCAGCGGTCAACGGGAGCTGTGAGACCGCCTCCTCCAGGGGCAGCACCCCGACCCTTACACCGAGGAGGAAGAACAAATACAGGTAACAGAGTGGGGAGATGCACTTCTGTACTCCGTGTAGCCGCCTGGGTTCCTATTACAGCCCTGCTGTTCACATGCTGTGTGACCTTGGGCAAGCATCTTGACCTCTCTGAGCTGCAGTTTCCTCATGTGGAAAATGGGACCAATGATCCCTACCTAGTGGGATTATTGAGAGGATTAAATAAGATGAGCTGTGTACAGTGCTGGACATTTAGGAAGCTCTCAATAAATGGTAGTGACAGTGTGATGGTGGAACACCCATCCCCAAATGTCAGAGGCGGGGCGTCTGAGACCCAGAGGGATCGGATGATTTGCCCAAGATCATGGAGCAATTTGCATAAGATTACTAATGTGGTCGATCCATGAAATGACATGGATGTGGTGGTTGCAGATTTCAGCAAGTCGTTTTGAAAGTGGGTCTTGTTACATTTTCACAAACAAGTTAAAAAAATGGGAGCTGATGCTAATAGTTATTGTTGTCAGTTAATTAGATTAGAATGATATTATTTGGGTTATTTCAGATTAATGTCAGCCTGGAGGGAGGTGTCTAGCGGTGGGCCACAGGGCCCTATCGCATTTATTGTTGTCAGTGGTTTGGACAAGGACAGGGAAGACTGCTGTGTTAGTCAATTCGGGCTCCATAACAGAACCCCATAGCCTGGGGGGCGTGCACAAGAAATCTCCCAGTTCTGGAGGCTGGAACTCCAAGATCAAGGTGCCAGCAGGGTTGGTTTCTCCTGCGGCCTTTCCTTGGCCTGCAGAGGGCGGCCTTCTCGCTGTGTCCTCACTTGGCCTTTTCTCTGTGCGCCTGTGCACTCCTGGGGTCTCCCCCTCTTCCTATAAACACAGCAGTCCTATTGGGTTAGGGCCCCACCCTTGTGACCTCATTTAACCTTGATTACCTCTTTAAAGTTCAGCATGAATTTTGGGAGGACACAATTCAATCCGTAATAACTGGCCAGTCAAATTTAGGAACCATTCTGAGCCAGGAGGGACGTACCTTAGACAACAGCAATGGGAATGGGAACAGTGCCTATTAAAGGAGGTAAAATTCAACAAGATAGAAGCAAGACTGCATTAGTATCATGTCAGGTTGAGGGCCACTCGCCTAACAGTTTCCCTGGCCCCAAGGCAGGGGCACGTTGACACTAGCAGCAGTGACGCCTGCAACACAGCTGGAAACGCTGATGTAAATGTAGGCCACATTAACAGAAGTACGGTGTCTATGACAAGGGAGGTGACAGTCAACCCCATGGTCACCTGGAGGATGGAATTTTGCTATGCATGCTGACACGTGGAGGGTGTCAAGTTAGGGAATAGAGAAGAGGTAGACGTGTTATTGGACAAAAACTTGGGTGCTAGACAGACACAGGCATCAACTGGATATGGTTTAAGCAGTTAAACCAAGTGGCAAAAGGTTGCCTTTTCAAAGATGTACAGTTTGGGGATGGAAGCCCTTTTAGTCCTGGCCAGAAACCATGGGCCTGACTGCTCAGAGGTATGCCATGAATATCTGTGGGATTAATAAAAAAGGAACTGCTGAATAAATCTGATTAAAGGTTCGAGGCCTCGAGGGCACATACGTCTGATTTACTGGTTGAGAGCTCAGGTCCTTGAGCCGGGCTGGATTTGAATCCTGTCTCTACTGCCTTCTTGCTGTGGGGCCTTCTCCTACCTGTACCTCAGTCTTCTTGTCTGTGAAATGGGATTGTCACATCTCCCTCCTGTGGGTGTTATGAGAAATAATGAGATCACGCAGGTGATGTGCCAAGTCCTGGGCCTGCCCGTGAAGAGCTCTCAGTAAACAGTCACAATTTGACGAAGCTTCTCTGGTCACGAGGCCAGGCCGGCTTTTAACAGCAGTGGAAACTGAGCATCCTCTGCCCGCCGGAATCGGTGCTGTGCAATTTCAGATACAGTCGGGAGGGCCACCGACCGCAGAGGGTTCCGCTGACGATGCCGCTGGGCAAAAGGAAAAGGGGGTTACAAGAAAAAGGGAAAGCCTTGAAGATTAAGGTTATGTTAAGCATGACTCCTGGTTGCAAATGACTGGAAACTTACCCAAATTGGCTTCAGCAGGAAAAGGACATCTGGGGCTCATGTGATGGGCTCAAACTGTCGTTGGGATTCCGTCTCCATGTTAGCGCAGCTTTCCCCCACACTCCAGGTGAGGCGGCCAGCAGCCGCTTTGCCCTTATGTCCTGCCCGTTTATCAAGGCAACTGGCAGAAAAACTTTTCTTTCCTAGTGGTTTCAGCGAAGGTCCTAAGGCAGATGCTCATTGGACAGAATGGGTCATGTGGCCATTCCTGAGCCAATCGGTGTGGCCAGGAGGATGGAATATGCAAATTGGCCAGGCCTGTGGCACATGCCAGGGCATGGGGGTCAGGATGCGGGGGGACTGGGTGCTTGGCAGGGGAAGGACGACTGAGATGGGGGTGGTGGCACCTGAGAGGGGGTGTCCTCACGGGGTGCCAGGCTGGGAGCAGGGACTTCTGGGATCTACAGGCAGCCCTCTCTGCTGCTGCAGGTGCCTGGCAGGGGGTGGAGGGAGGAAGGGTTTTAGGGTCTGTTCCTTCCTTCGGCTCACTGCGTTTCTCTTCCTCTGCCAGACTGATCGGCCACACTCCTTCTTACTGCGATGAGTCGCTGTTTGGCTCCCGACCTGAGAGCACCAGCCGGGAGGCCCCGTGGACGGCGAAGGGGCATGCTGCAAAAGTTCACGCCCTCTTCTGGACACCCCCAGCCACCCCTAGGGGCAGCCACTCGCCCCGCCCCAGGGAGACCCCACTGCGAGCTGTTCCCCCAGCTGGTCCCTCCAAGGCCGGGCCCGGGGTGGCGGCAGACTCCCGGAAGTTGTCCTCAAATGGGTTGGACCCTCCACGCCCTCTGAGGCGGGAGCTTGCCCATTCTCTCGCCCACCTGAATGTCCCCAGCACTGGTCGCCCACCCGCCGGTGCCCCCCATGCAAATGGGCCTCGGGATCCCAGGCCTTCCCCGTCGGGGGTGACCTTCCGGAGCCCCCTGGTGACTCCCAGGGCTCATTCGGTCAGTGTTTCAGTGCCAGCTGCCCCCCGACGAGGTGGGGTCGCTCAGAAGCCAAAGCCCCCCTGGAAGTGAGTGTCTTGGTCCCTTCATCAGGTTTGCCCACGGGGTCACAGCGAGGGGCAGGGTTTCAGAGGATGGCCCTGGCGGGGGCCTCTGGGGAAGCCAGTGTGCTAGGTAAGCGCCAGGCATTGGAGAAACACGGGGCTGTCAGCAAGGGTGGGCAGACAATCTCTAGTTGCTCCTTGCCCCCCGACCCCTGTGTGGACTTGAGGGCCACCCCTTAAACGCCACAACCACACGCCGTATCAGTGCCAACCCAGGGCCGCCCCCAAAGGGGCCGTCCACCTCCCCCATCACCCCCACAACATCATCTTGCCACCAAGTGTGGCTGATGCTGTGATCGCCAGCTGGAGGCTGTCCTCCCTCCCAGCCAAGCTTCCTGCCCAGGACCAGGGTCCAGCTGAGTCTGGCGGCCGCAGGGGTTTTCCCAGGCCCAGCATGTGGACCACGGGGACACAAGGATCTGGGTGATGTGTGGGTGGACGTGTTTTCCTTTTAATAGTTAATGTATTTATTTTCGTATATTAAATTCATGAGTAGCTGCTTGAAGCCATGACCTTTACTAATCTCTTTTTCCTTAGGGTAAAGGCCACTGTTAGGCCTGAGTTAATTTAAATACCAAAGTTAAATGATATAACCAGGAAGTGGCAGAAATCATGACAGTGGCGAGGGGGCGACTGGAGTTCAGGAACACAGGCCTCAGGCAGCACTGGGCTTCTCCCCTCGGGTTCTGGCCAGTCCCACTGACTAGCGGGTCAGCGAGTTCCTCCCAAGCTCAGAGTGTGGGCTGGGGCTTCCTGTTTTGTTTTGTTTGGAAACCAGATAGATATGTATGTATATACACATTTCCCACCTTTTCAAAAAGAAACACAGTGATGAGGACTTTGCCAAGTGGAGGGGTCCAAGACCAGAGAGTTCCACATGTACGTGGGAGCCCTTGGGCGGCCGGGGGCTGGTGGGCGGGGGCCTTCCTCCCCTGCTCTGCCCCCGTCACCAGGACCACCCGGGCTCGGGCGCCTAGGAGACGCAGCAAAGCCTTTGTCCAGCTGGAGCTGCACCCGGAACCCCAGCGTGCCCGTGGCTTTGGGTCAGGTCTGGCTTTGGGCCTCTCTGTGTCCCCGTGGTCCCTGATGTGCCTCCAGGAGGCACCGGGATTCCAGGGAGCCCGGTTGGAAGCCACGTCATTGGTTGTGCACTTCGGTCCTGGGAAGGGAAGAGGACAGTCATGGGGGACGGTCTGGGAGGGATCAGGGATGCGCGTGCAGACACCCACCCCCGTCAGGCAGGCCGCGAGGGCAGTGAGCCTCTGCACTCTTGGCGCAAACACGTTTTGCATTTTAAACATGCAGGATGTTTAAACTTCCTGGAACTCACAAAGGACTACTTCTCTCCCTCAGTTGCGTTTGAAACATCCAGCTCTCATTTGCCTCTCTCCCCTCCCCGTATGTTGACAGACGTGGGCCAGAAATACCTCTCTTGCCTCCTGACTATAGTAAAGAGAAGCAGCGGCCCAAGTGTGATGATGAAGGGCAGCTGACACGAGGCCGTGGTGCCTGGAAGACAGTTGGGAGTGGTGGGGACTGGGGCAACCCCCCTCTCTGCCATCCCAGGGGAGCTGCTGCTCTAGAGGACGCTCAGGCCCGGGGTATCTGGATGCTGAGATTTTTCCAGAAAAGGCAGAAAACCGGATTTGTGTCTGATAGCCCCTGATTTTTTAAATGCCAGCAATGAATTTAAAAAATATGTTGTTCAACCACCTGAGCTCCAAATAAAGCGAATGGGAGGCTGCTGGTGTGTGACCTCAGGCCTCCTGAGCTTTCACGGCACTGCATTGGGGAGAAGCTGAGGACAAACTGATAGTCCCAGAGCAGGGGCTGTGGGCAGCCTGCAGCCCTGTTCCTCCTGGAGTTCTCGCCCGCCCCGAACCCCTGCGTGCAGCCGTGACCCACACGCCCCCGCCCTGACGGGTGACGTGTCCACCGCGGGCATGGCAGCTTCAGGTCTGGGACCAAGGGTGGCTGCAGCCCGGTCTAACTTCCTACCGAGGCTAAAGGGAGGAGGGGTTATATGCTGACACCCCGGACCGCGTGCTCCCAGCATGGAAATGGACACGCGCGCAGCCAGCAGCCCTGCGTACAGTGAGGTTTATTCGTAGCATGTGGTTTACAATGGTTTTTGGTTTTGAAAAAGCGTTAAAGCCACGAATCACAGGGCTCCCCATTCTGGTGGCTTCCTGGGCGGCTCTCTGGGAGGCGAGGGGTGTGGTGAGTGCCCGCGGCGGGGGGCCGGTCTGGCGCTCATTTCTTGCCCTTGCCCTTGCCCTTCTCCTTGCCCTTCTCCTTGTCCTTGTCCTTGTCCTTCTTCTTGCCCTTCTCCTTCTTGTCCTTGGCTTTGCTCTTGCTCCGCTTCCTCCTCTTGGACCTGAGCAGGGAGCGGACCAGGTAGCCCTTCCACACGGCCTGGATGACGGTGGCCGCCCGCACCATGCGCACCAGCTCCTGCTCGGCCTCCATCCGCTTCCTGGAGTTGATCTCCTGCTCTGCCCGGATCTGGTTGAACTCTTCCATCAGCACGTCGTGCTTCTGCTTCAGCTCCTCCAGCTGGGCCTTCTCCTCCTTGTAGACGGAGTCTAGTTCCTCATACTCGTCCTGGGTGGGGGTCAGGGGGTGGGGGTCACCAGACACAGAGCTCTGCCTGCCACCCTCTGCACGCACCCCACCCTTCCCAAGGGCGCCTCTGCCCCAGCGACGCCCCACGCCAAGCCTGCCTGCACCCGGGGCCAGGGTGGAATGAGAGGTGGTGGGGTCTGTGCTGGCTCGGGGGTGGGGCCCGACTGGAAGGACGGCAGGAGCAGGAGAGAACACAGCCTAGGGGGCAGGGACAATGGGCTTCAAACCCCCCACTCGGCTGAGCCTGGAGGGCTTCACCTTTCAAGCCTTCCCTTTTCCTCAGCTGAGACATGGGGGCAATTCCAGACCCAGGGTCGGGGGAGCTGTTTCCAGAATTAAGTGACAGGATGGACACGATGTACTGGATGTGGTGCCAGGCACATGGGAGGGACTTAAAAAATGCCAGCTGCAGACACTGACGCCGTCTGTGCCACAAAGACACGCAGAGCAGAACTTTCTCAGGAGACGGAGTCCCACAGTCCTTCTTTATGTCTGCCTACAGTCTCTCCTGCTGTAATTTACACCTGTCTCCCTCCCCCCCTTCCACTAACACGTACCAAGCGTCTACCAGAAGGAAGCGCTTCCAGAGGACACGGAGATGAGTAGACTCAGTGTCTGCAGACAAGGAACCCAGCACCCCCCCAGGACCCAAGAAACAGGGCATAGGCTGCCCCTGTCGCCCCTCCCTGGAGACAGAGTGAGGCCCGGACTCGCCCTCTCTGAACGCACAGCTGACTGGGCCACTCAGGCTGAGCTCCCCTCCAGAGCTCGCCAGGCCTTCCCGGCCCTGAAGTGGGGGCCGTGGGCCACCGCTGTTATCACAGAGCCCGGGGAGGGCTTGAGGGCACGCCATTTTGTAGGCTACCATTCCCTGAGCACCTCCTCCAGGCCATCTCCTGTGCTGGGTACAAGTTCTCGTGACAAGGGGCCTCAGTGAATCCCCACAATGGTCCCAGCACCGGTATCACTCACCCTGTTGATCACCTGCAGAGACGGGCTCAGAAAGGTCAAGTCCCTTGCCTAAGGTCACACAGCTGGTGAGTGGCGCTAGAGGAGAACCTTCAGATGACAGTGGGGCCCTCTTCCCTGATGTACCCCAGCCCCTGGCAGGCCCCAAGCACTCAGTGGGAACTTCCCGAGTGACAAGGGAGTGGTGGAGGCAAGCTCGTGCCGAGACTGTGGGGGATGTGCCCTGGCGGCAGGAGCTGAGCGAGGAGGGGACAGACTATGGGATGTGGACACTAGATGGAGCCAAGATCGTGGGGCCCAGTGTCAGCCACTTAGTGGCTCACAGCTTCCGGCTCCTTCCTCCTTCCTCTCCCCTCACTGCCCTAGGCTAGACAAACCCTTGAGCCTGAGGAAGGGGCTGGGAAGCCTCTCTGGGGAGGCCCTGAACTTGACACAGACCATGGACCATCCTAGAGCTTCTCCTCCCATCCCCCTTCCCAGAGGATCTTGGGAAATACACTGGACAGACAGTTATGCAGCTACAAATACCTGCTTCTCGCCCATATCCATGTCATATTTCTGGATCCAGTTCTCGATTTCCGTCTCCACTTTATATTTCTTCTAAAAAAATTCAGTTAGTCAGTGTTCGATGGACTAATATCAACCATAAACAGCACTGAGCATTCTCTGCATCAGCAGGCCCGGGGGGCGGCGGGGAGGCTCCTGTACACGCCTCGCCGACCGAATCCACACGAGGTTGGTTCTCCCCCGTTTCCCCGGTGAGGAAACTGAGGATCGGATGTGCTTGCTCACTTGCCCACCATCACAGAGCCGATAGGCAGTAAGCCTGGACATGAAGCCAGCAATCTGGCTCCAGAATATTCTACATGGAGGGAGCAGCCGGTGCCAAGGTCCCTGAGGCGGGAACAAGCTTGCAGTGTTTAAAGAACAGAAATCGAGCCAGTGTGGCTGGAAAGAAGTGGCCAAGGAGGAGCGTGGTCCCCGTGAGGTGCGAGTGAGAAGCCCTGTCTCCAGGGAAGGAGCTTGGATGCTGGCGTGAGGGAGACGGGAAGCCGCTGGTGGATTCAGATGCAGTGGAGGGACGTGATCTAAGTTTGTTTTTAAAAGATCAGCTCCCATCCATACCATGGAGTGTCATTCAGCCATAAAAAGGAATGAAGTGCAAGTAAAGGCTACAAGGATGACCCCTGAAAACGTGATGCCAAGTGAAGGAAGCCAGTCACAAAGGCCACGTGTTGTGTGATTCCATTTACACGACGTGTCCAGAACAGGCAAATCCGTTGAGACAGAAGGTAGATTCGTGGGTGCCAGGGGCTTGGGGAGGAGGGAAAGACTGGGGGGAGAAACTGCTTGATGGGTGCAGGGTTTCATGTCGAGGTGATGAGAATGTTCTGGAATTAGACAGAGGTGGTGGTTGCACAGTATTGTGAATGTGCTAAATGCCACTGAATTGTTCAGTTTCAAACGGTTAATTTTATGTTATGTGAATTTCACCTCAATTAAAACACAATCAGCTCCCTAGTCCTACAGAGCAAGGGTTTCTGGGCGCGTGGCTGGGCTGGCTGCAGGGCGCCTGTGAGCCCCCAGGACTCGCCCGCTGGGACGTGTGCACGCAGCTGGGCCTTTGGATGGTCCCGCGCCCTCCTCCTCGGGGACGTTTCCCTGGGTGCTGGAGCAGGCCTGCCGTGGACTGAACCTCCCTCCGCCCCCTCCCCTGCCCTGGCGGCTCCATTGTCCCCGTCCTCCCGCTGCCCCAGGCACCTTCCTCAGCGCCTGCTCCGCCTCCCGGTTCTCCATGACCAGGCTGTGGAACTGCGAGCGCAGCAGCAGCAGCTCCTGCTGGATCTTGGCCACCCTGGCCTGCGAGGCCCGGAAGTCCGCCTTCTGCTGCTTCTCCGCCTCCTGCTTGGTGCGCAGCAGGCTGCTGTCCGAGAACCTGAGCACCTGCTGCAGGTGGTTTTTCAGTTCTTGGATCACAAAGTTCTCCTTCTCCACCTGCGCCGGGAGAGCAGAGCTGCACTAATACCCACATGGCCTCCGAGGAACCAGCCTTCACTGCACGCGCCCTCGGGGCGGGCCAGGCTCCCTGAGGCCTTGCCGCCCCCAAACCTACCCCCACCCCCTGAGGGAGACAGGGACAGCCTGACTACTGACGAGGAAACTGAGGCCCAAGGGGGTCAAGTCGCCTGTCTGGGCTTGTGCACCCGAGGCAGGATTTGAAGCCAGTTCTGTCCAACGCGGAGCCCATGTTCTTGGCATCCCCCTCTATTTCTTGGCATGAGTGAAGGGTGCAGGCGGGCCGGAGGGAGCCCGCAGGAGAGGTGTGGGACAGCAGCGACCCTCCTGCCCGGGGAAGTGCCCAGTTGGCAGAGACCCGTGGTGTGATGCATGAAGGGGGGAGGTAAACGTACACCACAGGGATTGCCAGCGGCTCTCCCCTGGGGACCTGGCTTGTCCCCTGCCCCTAGTCGGTCCTCAAACAGCAGCTGGGGAGGAGGATGGGGCTGCTTCATAAATGAGCAGCAAATGCTGATCACAACGCTAGAGTCCACTCTGAATGCAGCAGCGGGGCTGTGATGGCTTCTGCCGGCAGCCTGGGGCAGGGGTCACCACAGCAGGGCCGCAGGGGTCTGAGCTCACTTCCTGCACACAGGGAGCGGGAAGGAAGGGGCATCTTCGGGCAAGCCTATCCCGTGGGCACGGCCCCATGCTCTAGGTGCAGGCTGTGAGGGCAGAGGGTACTGTTAGCACTCAGAGTTTCCTGTGGACCCCACACACCTGCAGGGTGTCACCTCCTCCTTTGAACTGAGGTCCAATGGCGTGATGAAATTTGTCTGCAAAAATGGAATTTGACCCCAGATCTGTCCAACTTGGAAGCCCCAAGCTGGTTCCACCACCCAAATGGGACGAGCAAAGCCACTCGGGCCCTCTCCTTGTCCCTAGGTGCCATCTCTCCAATCTATGAGTGGCCTGCCCTGGCTGAGCACCCAGGAGCCTGTCATCTCTCCACTCAGCTGATAGTTACTACAACCCCCTTCTGTGCCAGGCTCACTGGGGACACAATGGAGGGCCAAAAGAGACAAAGCCCCTGTCCTCTTGTGGGGAGCCAGACCCGAATCAAATCATGGAGTAATCACCCAAATTTTTATCAACAAACTGATGAATGCCTTCAAGGACAAAATCAGTAAGAACATAAGGAAGGGGGGAGCTAGTGCCCGGGGCGGCGGGGGTCGGGGGAGGGCGCACATGACTTCCAAGGGCCTTGCTATTGTATCTGTCCCAGGGGGATGAAAATGGATGTGCGTGTGGCAGTGCTGGCCGGCTGGCCCCCGGGATCTGTGCAGAATGTTCGCTGGGAACGTGGCCCCAGCTACAGACCACCTTTCCCAGCATCTCTGGGTGTTGCCATGGACTGCACCGTATACTACCTCCCACGTCTAGAGGGCAGGACCAAGCCCGCTCTGCCCCTTCTGGCCTTCCTGCTGGCTGGACCGGTGGCCCCATGATGGGGAAAGCCGGAGCAGCCATCTAGGCCCACAGTTAGAAGTCCTGCGTGGGGACAGCCGAGAAGGCAGACGGAAGGAGCCTGGAGCCTGACCGCTTTACGAAGCAGAGCTTCCGTGCCGGCTCCAGCTTTTCCATTAGCGAGATACACTCCCATCTTGGCAAAGCCACTATTGCTTTGAGTGTCTGCTAAAGCAGCCAGACCTACACTTAGACGCCACCTCAGAGGGACTTTGCAAGACTTTAGTGGGAATATGTATGTGAAGCATAATACATACTATGTGTCCCCAAACGGTTATTATTTGGCTGGGATCATGTTATCATTTCCCTTCTGAAAAATTCTTCTGGAGCCTGCACCTGTCCCACCTGCCCCTGGCCCTCAGGACGAGGCCTCCGAGGCCTAATCTCCCTGATCTGCCTCCCTCCCCCACCCCTCAGGCCTTCTTTCCTCCCTCTGGCTCACTGGCACTCTTTGCATTTCTGAACCAGCCAAGCTTGTTCCCATCTCAGGACCTACGTACACAACACCCTCCCCTGCACCTGGAACAGGGGTCTGCAGAGGAAGGCCCATGGGTACCACATCTGGCCAGCCACCCGTGTCTGCGAATTCGGTTCTAACGGAACGTGGTCCACTCACTGACAGAGCCTTTACGGCTGCTTTGACACTATCATGGCAGAGCTGAGTTCAGCAGTTGCAACTGAGATTGCCTGGCCTGCAAAGCCTAAAGTATTTACTATCCAGCCCTTTGCAGAAAACGTTTGCCTACCCCTGGCCTGGAAGGTTCTTCCCAACCTCACTTGCCTGGTTCACCTTCTCTCATTGTTCATGTCTTGGCTTCAACATCCCTGACCCTTTTTGTCTAAGTTCAGTTCTCCTGCAACACGCCCTTATAGCATCCTATCCTTACCCTTCATTGTACTTCTCAAAACTGTAATTAAATCAGCTCTTTGAGACCTACCTTCCCCACCATGAACTCCATGAGGCTTGGACCAGGTGGGCTTATAAGACCTGGCACCGAGTAAGTGCTCAAAACAACATTTGCAGAGTAAACGAATGAAAACAGCTCTCTAAATCACTGAGGGAAAACCCAACTGCCAAAAGACTTGGGCTCCTTCCGTAACTTGACCAAAACTGGGAAGCGCTACCTCTGCGTCCCTGTTCTTCATGCTGGCCGCCAATTCCCTTTCAAGGTCATTGATGGTTTCCTGGTTCCTCCTGTTCTGTTTCCTGATGTCCTGTATGAACTGGGCCTTGTCTCTGGCTTCCATGGGGCTGGTGAGGAGCTTCTCAAACAGGAAGCCCCGCAGCTCCATCAGGCTGTCGACGAGCCTCTGGGCGCCTGCTCTTCGGCCCAGCATCTGCGTCTGCAGGAGGCTGGCCGCCTGGGGGTTACTGAGCAGGAGTCTCAGGGTGTTCTTGGTGGACTCTCTGACCTGCCTCTTCAGCGGGAGGAGGGCAGACTTCTGCAGCTCTATGGAGAGGCGGCGCTCCCAGAGCACCCGCTCCTCCTCCAGCTCCTCCTCCTCCTGCACCTGCCTCTCTTTACGCTGCAGGTAACTCACATTGTCCAGGAGGAGCTGGCACAGCTCCTCATGCTCTCTCACGGCCTTCATGATGCCCTCTCCCAACATCCTCTCCAGATCCTTGTCGCCGGAGGCCACATGTGACAGCAGCGTCACCAACTGCACCTTGTGGATGGTCTCGTCCAGCACGGACATGATCCTCTTGGCCTCGATGGTGGTAAGTTTGGTACTAGATGGGACCAAGAGGTTTGGCGGCGAGGCTGGCTTCTTGGATGGCTCTGTCATCAGCCTTATTCTGTTGATGTCAGGGCCTTGGTGGAGGGGTTCCACGGTGAGGACGTCTAAAGCCATTTGATAAGCAGCCTTGCTTGTCTTTGTACGCCCTGGGAGGTTGAGACTTTGGGAGACTAGATGGGTCTCCTGCTTTTATTATCCCCTAGGAACCCTAGAAAGGAAGGGGTAAGCAGTTAGCAGAGCCGTGCTGACATTGGTAGGGCTGGTGTGGCCACAGCAGCCGTTGACTTGACGGGGAGAGTTCATCTCAGGCACTCTGCAGCTTTACACAGAGCCTCTCGCTGGAAGTCATTTTTAGCTTTGTGACTGGGTTGGGGCCACAAGGGTAGGAGGACCAGCTGCAGAGGCGGGTCTCAGGCCCATGTGTCAGGCAGGGACCAACAAGGAATGCAGACATCACGCTAAGTATTTAAACACAGAAATCGGGTTACACTGTTGATGGAAGAGCTGAGAGGGCAATCAGGGGAAGGTGAAGCCACCACGGGAGGAGGAAGTGGTGAGCATGGGGATCAGGGTCACCTGGGGGAAGCTGGGACCACAGCCATTTCCTGTCCAGGAGGAGCTGCTGCCACTGCTGGAAACACAGGCCAAAGCAGAGAGCGGGGGAGAAATACTCTGGTCTCTCCCTTCCTCCCGCCGTCCAATCTCACACCAGCGCCTCCCACTGGCCAAACCGAGTGGGAAACCAGCTGACAAGGGGCCTGGGCGGTGTGGCCTGCAGGGGTCAGCAGTCTGAGACACAGAGCCGAACAGGGACAGAGCAAACAGTGGCGCGAGAGCAGACAGGATGAGGACCAGTCCAGCACACATGCGCTGATTTTTAAGTATGGATTTAAAAAATCGGAGTGGGGATGAACAATGACTGCAAAATACTATATTTAAAAACTAGTTTCACTAAATGCAATGCTGTATCCTGGATTGGATCCTGAAACGGAAAAGGGACATTAGTAGGAAAACTGGTCAAATCCAAGTCAAGTCGATAGTTTGGTTGAGAGCATTGCACCCATGTTAATTTCCTAGTTTTGACAAACGCATTGTGGTTATGTAAGACGTTAACATCGGGGGAGATGAATGAAGGGCGTGTGGGAGTTCTGTACTATCTTTGCAACTTTCCTGTAAATCTACAATTACTACAAAATAAAAGGCTTACTTAAAAGACTGTTTCAGAAAAATTTATGGCAGCAACCAGAAGTCAAGCATTTATGTTGCCTACGTGACTCAGGGGCTAAGAATACCAGCTTTGGAGCAGCCCCACTCGGGTTCAGATCCTTGCTGGGGGACCCTGGGCTGGTTCTCCAATCCCCCTGGGCTGGGCTGCCTCGGCCATAGGACAGGAACCCTCAGATCTGATAGGAAATTTCTGGTACAGGGCCTGGACACTGAGTGCTCAATAAATAACAATGAATATTATTAGCCCAGGAAAATTGAAATCCCAAGTCCAGGACGTCGGTGACTTCCCAGTCTGAGTCTCCGGGCCGGCTGGAGACCCGGATGTACCTAATGAACCCTACTGCTCAGCACACTGTGGGACGATGGACCCCACCCAGCTCCTTTTTTATCCCTTGTCTCGGTGACGGCAATTCCGCCAGCCTAGTTGCTCAGGCTGGAAACCTGGGTGCTGCCGCACGATTTTCCTTGCCCCCACACCTAGTCTGGCGCCCCGCTCTCTCTGAGTGCTCTCTCCTCGAGAGCTCCCAGGCCGTTCCCCCTCAACAGCCTCTCTGCCAGAGTTATGACCTTGCACTCTCTCCCTGGATGATTAAAGAGCTTCGTAACTGGTCTGCTTCCACCTGCTCCCGCTCCCTGCGATAAAGCTCACCCCTGGGGTCATCTGTCCGGGTATTTATTGAACCCCTGGGGATATAAAAGAGATGCAAGGGCTGGTCCCTGTCCTCTCAGAGTTTATAACCTGGTCTGAGATATGAAACACGCACACACGAAGGCTCAGCAGCTGTGGAAGGAAGGGGACAAAGGTGTAGTCACACAATAGGTCGAGATGATGACCAACCTTCAACCCCAGAGTGGGGACTTTGGAGTTTATCTTACAGGAGATTGGGATCAGGAAAAGTGTAACAGCAGAAAATCAGATTTTTTAGAAAGACCTATCATAATGGATGATTTAGAGAGAAAGGGCTGGTGGCAGCAAGGATATTACAAACCTTGGGATTTTATAAACCTTCCACCTCAGGGCCTTTGCACACACTGTTTCTTCTTCCTGAAACACTGTTCTCTTTCCTCCTTGTCAAGTTAACTCCTTATACTCAGACCTTAGTTCAAGTGTCCCTTCCTCAGGCAACTCTTTCCTGGGCTTCCAGGCTGGGTCAAACTCTCATAAGGTTCTCATAAGGCCACACCCCTTTGTGGCAACTGTCCTAACTCTGTTCCCTCTTGCTTGCTTATACTGTAGAGGCTGGAAATACTTAATGCTTACCTTCTCAGACTCCTTTACAGCTAGGGGTGGCTATAAACACAGTTCAAGACAATGAAATAGAGAAGTTTTCTAGGGGTTCTGGGAAACTGCATAACTTCTTGATGCAGAAAGAAAGACATTGTTGGCTTCACCTCCATTCCCTGAATTTGGGCTTAATGCTGGAGCAATGGCAGCCATTTTGTGAACAAGAAGAAAAAGTTAAGAGAGTTACAGGAATGCTGCCCCTGATGTCATTGAGCCACTGGGCCTTCCAAGTGTCCATTATCTCTCACCCAGATGACTGTGATAACCTCTTCACTGGTCACCCTGCTTCTGCCCTTCTGCCCCACAGTCTCTTATCACAGCAGCCAAAGGGATCGTTTTAAAACGTCAGATCCTTTCACTTCTCTGCTCAAAACCCAGCTCACAACAGTTGATTGTTAAGATTGTAAGATGTCTGTGAGCTGGTTGTTAAACCATTGGTAGCTTGAAATCAGCCATGGTGGGAGTATTTATGCAATGGAAATTGGCAAATACCACAAATCAGCACCCCTCCCCTCCAAACCAGTTGTTACCAGCACACCACCACTTACAATGCTTCCCACCTCACCCAGAATATAAGCCGGAGTCCTTACAATGAGCTAGAAGGCCCTACACAATCTGGCCACTGCTACCACTCACTCTTCTGCACCTAAATTCATCTTTTTGCTGTTCCTCGATTGTGTCAAACGTGCTCCGACTTCAGACAGGGCCTTTGCACATGCTGTCTCCCCCATCCGGAACATTCCTCTAAGTATCTGCAAAGCTGCTCCCTTGCTTCCTTCTCTGCTCAGATATCAGCGTAGCAGTGAGTGCTTTCCTGACACCTTCACAAAGTATAAACCCTCTCCTCCTGCCTGTCCCTCCCTCTCATCCTGGCTCCTTTTTCTCCAGGTGCAGCATCACATCAGACATCTCTACATGGGCCTGTTTGTTTATCGTTTGTCTTTCCCCCTCCCCTAAAAAGTAAGCCCCAATGAAGGTAGGAAGGTAGGAAGATGCTTTATCTGTTTTGATCACTGCACTGTTTCCATACCCAGCACTGAAAAAAACGGAGCAGCCTCCTGGGGAGAGATCCGCTGGGCGGCTTACGGGCTCCCGGCGCCCGTTGGGTTTTCCTACTCTGCGGGTGTGAGAGATGTTTGGAAGAAACAATCATCAGGACTGGATGAGTGAGAGAGAGTGCTGAGTCTGGGTGAGTGGGAGACAAGGGGGTGGCCTTGCGGAACTAGGGGAATTGGGAGAAGTCTGGAATGGGGGACAAAGAGCTCAGCTTTAAACTCGTTGAGCTCCAGCCGCCATAACTGGAGCAGACAGTGGACAAGGATCCTCGCCTTCCCGTGATCCATTTTCTCTTTGTCAGTGATGGCACCACATATTGTGCCACACACATATTGTGATGTCAGACAGTTGTCCTTGGAGGAACTCATCCTCTCTCCCACCATGTGTAGCCTTAGTGGGCTCGCCCATCGAAGAACCCAGCTTTCGGGCAGCCCCAGTGACCTAGTGGTTAAGTTTGGTGCGCTCCACTTCAGTGGCATGGGTTCAGTTCCCGGGCCTGAACCTGCACCACTTGTCAGTGGCCATGTCTTGGTGGTGGCTCACATACGAAACAGAGGAAGATTGGCACAGATGTTAACTCAGGGTGAATCTTCCTCAGCAAAAAAAAAAAAAAAGAAAAAAAGAAAAAAAAGACCCCTGCACTCTGCCTCCTAGGAATCCTGAAGAGGGACTCATGGGGGGGAAGTGGTGGGAGCTGATTCGTGCCAGTGGCCAGCTCCTGGAGATGCTGCTACCAAGATCCCCAGAGCTGCCTTGGCTGCTGTGCTTCCGAGGCTCGGTCCTTCAGCTTTTCCTTCACCATGTTGCTTAGTCAGCATCCGTTTCTGTTGCTTGCAATCGGAGAACCCTAGGTGACAAAATATTCTAGGCAACTGACAACGCGAGACCGGGGGGCTCCTGGGAGACCTTGGGGATGGAGATACAAAAGCGAGGGAGAGGCAAGAGAAAGCTGACACCACTAAAGTTATCTTCAGTTCACCAAACCCAAGAGGAAACAGAGAGAAGAGGAGGGAAGCAAAGAAACATCTAGAGTGACTACGAACAAGGGGGAAGGGCGGCCAGGGCAGGTGCTCAGGATGCTCTGGTCCTCAGCCAGGCAAGACGGATCCGAAATTAGAAGCCCCTGGGAGCTGCCACTGAGGCGAGAAGGGCAGCATCTTGCATCTGTCTGACTGAACCCACTTCCTGCTCCCATCAATCTCCTGAGTTCCTTTAAGGCTTCTCCTGAAAATAGTGCTTTAGGGACGGGCACGGAGCTTCCGCAGCCTCTCTGAGGATGAAGGATCTTTGCCCCACGGCCGCAGGCTGAATGTGAACAATGTTTAATGAACACGCTTCTCCCCATTGTCCCCCAAAGCTCTCAGGCATAAATCAAAATGCCTGAATTCTTCAGAGGTGGCGGCTTGAAGCACAACGTTATATGAGATGTTTCCAATTTGCTTTCAGCCAGATTACCTCTTTTGCTTTAAAGGGCAAACTTGTTTTCTTTGATTATAATGACGCTCATCACTTCCTGACAGCTCATTTGGGTGAACAAGAAAAAGCCGGCGGAACTAGAATCGGGGCACATGCATCCGACTCTTGAGGACAAAAATCACGGGACAATCTCTTTTCCTTAAATTCTAATATGATCATTTCACGTCCTTTTTAATGCCACCAACCTTAATATTTAAATCATTTCCAACTTAAGCCTCTCCTTTAAAAATTCCTGCCCCGAGAGTGAGGCAAGATGGGTAATGGATGGGGAACTTGAACTGGATCTTCCCGTTATTTGCCATTAATTCTGCTGATGAATTTTATAAATGGAAATATATCTTTATCATGCAAATTAGACCCTGTCTTCATTCAGATGGGCTTGCTGGATATTTTATTACTTTCTCTTTCAGAACACTTTAAAAAAAAAAAAGGTTTGAGGTAAATTATATTTTTTCCCCCTGGGGAGAAAACCCAATCCTGATAACTACCCCGCAAACCCAACACTGGGAAGTGAAGTCAGAGGGTGTTAAAAAACCTGGAGTATGTGCAGGGGGGCAGCTCATTTTAAGAGATGCCATTTTAATGTTAGCTAACCCTTGAGAATTTCTACGTGCTAAATGCCGTTCTAAATGCTCTACACGAATTAATTCGTTTATTCCTCACAACAGCCTTCTGAGGTCGGTGCTTTTACTGCCTCCATGTCACAGACGAGGAAAGGGAGGCAGAGGGAGGTTCGATGCCTGTCTTGGTTCATAGCTAGTAAGTGACAGACCAGGATGGCAGCCCAGGTGGTCTGTCGTGAGAGTCCATACCCGCAACCACCGCTCTGTCCAGTCTCTCCATCTTCAGCTTGACTTCTAAGGTGGACAGAATGCAATGATTCTTTGCTGGTCCAGTTTCAATGAACCCTGTCAAGGAGAGACCTGGGGAATAGATGTGTTCCAGTTCTTAGAGCATTCAATCCACTCAACAGCTACAAATACAAATATTCATATTTGTCATTACATCTATGAGCATATATATACCAGACTGGACCTGCCTTTCTTTCTGCTGTCACACACCATTCCTGCTGGTGTCGTGTTCCTACAGGCGCACCAGGATTAGTCACAGCCTGCAACAATGGAGCTGTCACTCCATCCCTTTCTCCTCACTTCAGAAAGCTTATCAGAATAGAAGTGAGAGTGAGTGAATTATTTAGGGTAAGCTTTGAATCATCTCTCATTGATTTTTATATCTTTGAGTCAAGCATTCACATACTTTGGAACGTATTACCAGCGGATTACCAAGACCCACGTCATAAGTGATCACGACTCAGAGGTCACTGGCAGCGTGATGCCAGCCCACAGGGGCAGAGCTGACGGGCCAGGAAGGAGCCTCGAGAGGGTCAGTTCTGACTCAGCATTGCCCAAGTCTCTGGCACTTGCGAGCCATCTTTGTCATTTCTGCCAAAGCTAAAGGCCAGGCTGTACTATTATTGACTCAGATTTTTTTCCTTTAGGTATACTTTGATTCTTAAGGACTTTTCATTAAAAAGGGAACTTTATGTCTGCACTGTAACTGGAAAAATCTGTATCGCTTTCCTTAAGCAGAAGGTAACAATGTCTACATCCTGATATTATTTCATTCTAGCTAGATACTGTTACCCAGGAAAGATGAGTCTGAGACCAGATCTCTGCTGTTAAAAGGCAAGATTAGCAAGTGGTAGGGAGATGCTATAGACATACTAACAGAAAGAGAGAGGAGACAAATTACTCATGTCAGGAAGGGGCCATCACTACTGGCCCCACGGACGTTAAAGACAATAAAGGAATATTATGGACAACTCTATGGCCACACATTTGATAACCTATATGAAATGGCCCAATTCCTTGAAAGACACAAGCTACCAAAACTCACACAAGGAGGAATAGAGAACTCTAATGGGCCTATATCTACTAAAGAAAGTTGAATCAATACTGAATAACCTTCCAAAACAGAAAGCACCAGGCCTAGATTATTTCACTGGTAAATTCTACCAAAAATTTAAGGAACAAATTATACCAATTCTCTACAATCTCTTCCAGAAAATAGAAGCAGAAGGAATACTTCCCAGCTGGTTCTATCAGGTTAGCACTACTCTAATACCAAAACAGACAAAGACATTACAAGAAAGGAAAACTACAGACCAATATTTCTCAGGAGCATAGATGCAAAAATCCTCAAGAACATATTTGCAAATTGAATCTAACAATCTATAAAAGGAATTATATACCATGACCGACGTGGATTTATTCTGGGTCTGCAAGGCTGGTTCAGCATTCAAAAATCAATTAATATAATCCATCACACCAACAAGAAGGAAAGTCATATGATCATATCACTAGATGCAGAAAAAATCCAAATACCCATTCATTTTTGACAAAATCCAGCACCTATTCACGACTTTTTAAAAAAGCCTCTCAGCAAACAAGGAATAGGGTGGAACTTCCTTAATAAAGAGCATCTACAAAAGAACCTGCAGCTACCACCATACTTAATTGTGAGAAACTAGACGTCTCCCCTCTAAGATGAGGAGTAAGGCCAGGATGTCCCCTCTCACCACTCCTGTTCCACATTGTAGCAGAGGTCCCAGCTGATGCGATGAGACAGGAAAAGGAAATAAAACGTATACAGATTGAGAAGGAAGAAATCAAACTATCTTTGTTTACAGATGACAAAATTGTTTATGCAGAAAATCCCAAAGAATCAACAAAAATACTCCTGGAATTAGTAATCAATTATAGCAAAGTTGCAGGATATAAGGTTAATATACAAAAGACTTATAACATCAAACTGAGGCTTTCTCATTGATGTAACTGGAATTAAAAAAGACTTTTTAAAACATTCTTCAGCACAGACTTCTCACCACGGGGCTGAAGTTTATTTAGAGCCACGATCTGTCTCAAACCAGATATGGCTGAATGAACAAAACCAACTAAACACATTCTCCTTTGGTACCAGCCTTCCACTGAAAATTCACAGCACATGTGTTCCTAGGCAATTTAAGTATTTCTTCACTGATTCTTAGCTCCAGTTGATACTTTGTGCCTGCCTAGCTCCATTCTTGGTACTTCTCATGACTTGACAAAAAATGCTGTTTTCAGCTTAGTTGTGAGAGAGCTAAGAACGAATGGTGGAGAGTGGAAAATACACTTGGAGGTAGAGATGGCAGAGAGAAATTTTCACAAGAGATGGAGCTCATGATCTTTATTTTCTACCCTAGTGAAAAAGTTGCAATTTCTACGTGATTGCAAATTGAATAAAGCCATGTTGTGGACTGCACAATTTGCATAGCTGATTTCATGTCCTTTTGATGGTCCCGTCATGTTTCTGAGAGGTCTGATTCCCACGCACCCATGCCTCCAGGCCCTAACACTGTCTGCTTCCTCCTTCCCCGATGTTCTTAGGACTCAAAGCCGTCCTTGGTGGGTATGGGAGTCCTGGTCGCTTAGTTCCGATTCCACCACCTACTTGCTTGGTTAATAGGCAGAGGTTTTGCCTTTGAAGTGGTAGGAATTTTCCTTTTGGCCTCAGGAAGTTCCCACTGGCCTGTGAACCACACATCTGGCTTTCTTCAGGAGAAATTTATAGGCTTAATTTCAGCCTTCCAAGTCTAGCATGGGGAAAGTGCGGGGCTGGAAAGGGGCAGAAAATTCATGATGAAGACTGCTGTCCTAGCCACTATCGCACAGTGGGAGCTTGATGAATCACTGTTGAACAAACCAAGAGATGGCAAAGCCAGCTTTACCAAGAGGCCTGTTTCCCCCAGGGAGATGCTGGCATAACAGGATAATGTTATTTCACAAAATATGTTATGTCCTGAGTTAGAACCAGAAAATAATGCCATATTTTAATAGCGAAAACTGGGGGCCAAGATTTGGCCTATGTGTTGTTTCCCATCCCTGTGGCTTGGAATTTTAAAATAAAAGATTTAAATCAAATTTGTGTTTTCTTTCTCATAGTTTAGTTGGGTTTTTTCTATCACCACTTTTGGACTATCACTCAATCCTCTCTTGTCCTTTTTGCGAACCCATGTTTTGTGGATTGTATTTGGTTTGCAAAAGATTCCCAGGCTGGAGCCATTGCAGAGAAGGCCGGAGGCATTAACAGACGGGACCTCATCTGCGGTGATGGCTCTGAGGCCGCAGGCTCCAGTTTATCGAGTGCTTTGGAGACAGAGGACACGGGGTAGCGACTGAGGTTGGGAGAGAATGTGCTCCTGGGGACAGATATCTAAGCTGCCGGTTACAATGAACAGCTCACTACCCGCCACTGGCCACAACTATAGCCCTGGGCAAATCCACTGGACTTTCTGGGCCCTCATCTCTGAAGTGGAAAAGAAAAACAAGAGCCTACTGCACGGTGACTAAGTCTGTGGGTTCCGGCGTCAGACAAACCCGGAGTCCAATTCCAGTGGATCACCACTTCCTCACTGTGTGGCTCTAGGCAAGTCGATCAACGTCTCTGAGCTTTGGCTTCCTCATCTGTGAAGTGGGGACAGTAATGTAACACAAACTGGACACAATTGCCGGGAGTATGAAATGAAGCGCTGGCTCAATGATGTTTAGCTTTTATTACAACTTCAAAAATGATATAATTTCATCTTAACGTTTGGATCCTTCTTAAAATACAAGATGTGATTTTCCTCAAAATAGTGTATATGTTTTTGTGCAGAAGGGTTTATAAAGAGCCAAAACGGAAGCACTGTTTACTCCTTTTTACTATATCTGTTTTACGTTTTGCTGGTTTCTATATCATTCATGCTTTTCTGTTCATGGTGGAGGAGGACAGAGATCCCGCAAACTACTTGCCATTTTTCAGCTTCCTGCTCCTTACAAATTATTTCATGACGATTCTTAATTCCTCTTTCGGTTACAGCGTAGCTTTGGAGGTGTTTATTTCTGGTTACATCCCACTGCCAAGGGGATCGCTTTGGTCTTTCAGACAGAAGAAAGAAGTTCCCAGCAGTGAATTTAGATTCTTCTAAAATAAACTTCCTCTACTTAAAAAAATATATTTAAATCATAACCTTATAAAATGCAAAACACTGGCTTTTCCTGACTGACAGATTATGTGGAAGAAGTGTCTTTTTTAAACCAAGAGCTGTGTCCCTTTAGAGAGTGAAATCAACTCGCCCATTAAAAATAAATGAAAGAGAATAGAAAATATTAATGTGTGTTGCATGTAGTAAGTATTCACTCGTAATTAAACACTTGTGTGCTGGGGCCAGAAGGAAAATGTATTTCTTTGTCTGGTCTGTGGCTAAAGAAACAAGCTGTGTTTGAAAGACCCCAAGTTAAAGGGATTTTATCGGTGAAGGACATAAACTGCCATTATTTGCGAGCTGAGATCAAGGAGATGCTTTTCCCTGATTCTCTGTGTTTCAAATGATCTCGATTTTTATTCACTTTTGTTTTCAGTTCCACTAAACAGGGCCTCCAGGGAAAAGGGGTGTGTGTGCATGTGTGTGTTTAGTGTGTGTGTAGCATTTGTCCTGTATGAAAATACCAGTAGAAAGAGTTTCTCAGTCTCTGCACTAGTGACATGTTGGGTCAGATGGTTCTCTGCTGGGGGGCTGTCCTGTGTGTCGTAGGACGTGTAGCAGCACCCCGGCCTCCACCCACTCGATGCCATAGCACCTTTCTTCCATCACCTCTTCTGACCAGTTGGAAACAAAATGTCTCGAGACATTGCCACGTGTCCCTGCTGGGGAGGGCAGATGCCCGTGGCTGAGAACCGCTGTTCTAGGCCACAGGGGGCTTGCACGCCCATACGCCTCCCGCGTGCCCATCCTAAGGCCAGCGCTCCATCCAGGTTCAAAGAAGGCTAGTCCGAGTCTAGCCCAGCGGTGCTCGACAGGCTGACCTCTGTGCCATCTAAGGCCACCATCAGTTACAGAATCAGG